GCTCTCTTAAGTGTTTTACGAGCTGTAGGCCTATGAGTCTCAACCTGGCTGCACCACAGACTCAGTTGGGGATCTTCCAAAAATTCCAATGTCCAGGCTGTACTCCAGACTAATTGCATTAGAGTCACTTAGCAGGTGGGAGACAGGATTAGAAGTTTTAACGTTCCACCCAGGTGCAATCACGGTTAGAACCAGAGCTGTGGTCCCTTGCAGCCTGGCTGTCAGGGTGCTGCAGTCATTATGAGCTTGACCTCTGAGGTCTGATGGACTTGGATTTGAGCTCCTGCTCAGCAACTTCTCCAACTGGGTAACCTCAGTCAACTTTCTGAACCTCTTGTATCCTCTATTTCTTCATCTGTGAAAAGTGGATCACTGTAATACACCTACGTTGTATGTTGTTCTTAAGGCCAAATGCATTAATCCATGAAAAGCGCACAGTGTTTCATTCCTAGTAAGAACCCAGTAAATGTTAGCTTTTATTGTTATTACTTTTTCAAGGTCTAGCATTCTATTAGAAAGCTCTTCTGGGCCTGGTGCAGTGGCTCATGCCTGTAATCCCAGCCCTGTGAGAGGCTCAGGTGGGTGGGTCACGTGAGGTCAGGAGTTTGAGACCAGTCTGGCCAACCTAGTGAAACTCTGTCTCTGCTATAAATACAAAAATTTGCCAGGCGTGGTGGTGGGTGCCTGTAATCCCAGCTACTTGGGAGGCTGAGACAGGAGAATTGCTTGAACCCGGGAGGCAGAGGTTGCAGTGAGCTGAGATGGCACCACTGTACTCCAGCATGGGTGACAGAGCAAGACTCCATCTCAAAAACAAACAAACAAACAAGCAAAAAACAATGAGAGCTCTTCTATAGGGTAAGTTGAAATGTTTCTCCTATAGCTGCAAGAACGGTCTTCTCAAAACCTAAGTCTACTTATGTCACTTGCCCACTTAAAATCATTCTGTGGTTTCCTGTTATTTTCATGGTCAAGATAGACATCTTTTGTTTGACCTATCAGCCTTCAAGGTCTGGGCTCTGCCCCCTCATTTTCTCCCCTTGCACCCTTTGCCCTCATGACCTGGGGAGGGGCTTCTTTGATTCCCTGCCTCGGCCCTACCATGGGGACTTTGCCTGCCCTGCCCCTCCTGGAAAGCCTTCTCTGCCCAGCTTCCTTTGCCAACTCCCACTTGCCCTTCAGCCCAGCTGTTACTCTACCAGTGCTCCTCCCTGACATTCTCACCAGGACAAATCCTCACCTTGCCATTCTCATGGCATCATGCCACAGCTGACATCTTACATTTATTAGTGTGGTCATTTTTGCAATGTCTGTCACCTGTGTTAGACTCTAAGCTCCAGGAGAACAGAGATCCTATCTGTTTTCCTGATCCCATGATCCCTCTGTATCTAACTTACTGCTTGGCACACAACTGAGGTTCAATAAATAGGTGTTGCATAAACAAACTGGCCCCAATTGGCTTCTTGATAAAGTCCACCAGTAGTTTAAGTTCTGCCCTCTGTAGCTCTTCAAAGTAGTCAGCGCCTTCTACCCCAAGACCACCTTTCAGGGGTGGGTGGGAGCCTTCAGGACTCCCAGTCTTCTCAAGGCTGAACAGCCACCACTCCTTATGGCAGGTGGCACTTGTAAACCCTCTGTACCCTCCTCGGGTTCAGGTTGTAGGATGCCTAGAACCAGGCTCAGCACAAGGGAATAGGGAGATTTTCCAAGTGATTTGCCCATGCAGTTCTGCCAAGTGACTGGGAGCTGTGATGTGGTTCAGAATTAGTGCCCCTTAGCCTTCCACCTCTGAGGCCCTTGATCTCCATGTCATGAAGGTCATACATTAAATGTGTTTTATGGGATAAGTGAGCCCCAAATAGAATATGGGCATTTCACACGAGAAAGTCATTTCGGATGGCTGTCAGCATCAGCTTGAAAACCACTTGGGGTGGAGATAAATGAGTGTTGGAAGTTTGCAAGGGCATCAGCAAAAGTAAATACCAGTGACGAAGTTGAACTCTTCATTCTTGTTTTTAACTCAGGGCCAATCTGAGGCAAAAATATAAGGCAGATGGAGAATGTCTAAAAACAACAACAAAAGCCACCATTTTCTGGAGCCATCTTTGGGCTCTTTCTGAGAATTTTTTTTTGAAACAGAGTCTCACTCTGTTGCCCAGGCTGGAGTGCAGTGGCAAGATCTCAGCTCACCTCAAACTCTGCCTCCCAGGTTCAAGTGATTCTCATGTCTTAGCCTCTTCAATAGCTGGGATTACAGGCATCACGCCTTGTTAATTTTTTTTTTTTTTTTTTTTGTATTTTTAGTAGAGACGGAGTTTCACCACCTTAGCGAGGCTGGTCTTGAACTCTTGACCTCAAGTGATCCGCCCGCCTTGGCCTCCCAAAGTACTAGGATTACAGGCATGAGCCACCACGCCCAGCCTCTTTCTGAGAAATCCTTTTTGGGTCTCTGTCTCTGGAGCGGGGAGAGAGGAGTGTTGGAGAAGCCACAGAGGTGGCTGGGAGCACCCTCAGATGCTGTGGTTGAGGTGACCTTCAAACCCACACTCAGCTCCATGCTCAACGCCACCCTGGCCTGAGGACAGCCGTGGAAGTGACACCAGCACGGGGAGGCACACACAATGTCCTCCTTTGAAAGGCAGAACTGGAGTCTTTCCTGTGTTAGTTTTCTCCTCAGCCTGGCCTAGGGCTTGGCAAAGCTGGCTGTGGGTTAGAATCAGCTGAGGAGCTTTTATGAAAGCGCAAGGCAGCTGTCCCCACAGGGGGTTCTGCTGCTGCAGGAGGTTGTGGTGCCAAATAGATCCAACTCCCCACCCGGCTTGGGGACCCCAGGTGCATTCTCCAGCCTTGCCTCAGTGAATACTCAGATCATGTCTGCTGAATTGAAATAGGCCAGTGGACTGGACAAGAACCTGCTTTGTGGGAGCGAATCTAGAAAACAGCCTAAGAGGCCAGGGTGGATCTCGCAGCCTCCACGCCGCAGGCCTGGAGGTTTGTGTAGTAGACGTTCTCCCTCTAGTGGCAAAAGTGAAGATGACAGGCAGGAGGGGAAAAAAGCTTTTCCACCTGCAAGGCCTGGCTGCCAAGGGCTCCCGAGCTGCGGATGGACACCAGGATCCGGCTGCTCTTGCATGACTCGCCCTCCCTCAGCTCATCCTGATCCCAGCCCTGTCAGATCTTATCTTCACTTAACGTTTTGATATTTTGTTTATGATAGAGTTTTTTGGGTTAATTCTGATTTATTAAAATATTGTATTAAAATATTATTTCTGGCTGGGGTCAGTGGCTCACGCCTATAATCCCAAAACTTTGGGAGGTCAGGCAGGCGGATCATTTGAGGTCAGGAGTTCGAGACCAGCATGGTCAACATGGTGAAAATCCGTCTCTACTAAATATACACACACACACACACACACACACACACACACAAAATTAGCCAGATGCGGTAGTGGATGCCTGTAATCCCAGCCACACGGGAGGCTGAGCACAAGAATCGTTTGAACCAGGGAGGCAGAGGTTGCAGTCAACTGAGACTGTGCCACTGCACTTCAGCCTGGGTGACAGAGCAAGACTCCGTCTAAAAAAAATTGTTTCTGCCAGGTGCACTAGCTCATACCTGTAATCCCAGCACTTTGGGAGGTTGAGGTGGGAGGATCCCTTGAGGCCAGGAGTTAGAGACCAGTCTTGGCAACATAGCAAGGCTCCCGTTTCTACAAATAATTTAAAAATTAGTCACGTGTGGTGTCACAGGCCTGTAGTTCCAGCTTCTCAGGTGGCTGAGGTGGGAGGATTGCTTGAGCCCAGGAGGTGGAGGCTGCAGTGAGCCATGATCGCGCCACTGCACTCCAGCCTTAGTGACAGAACAAAATGCTGTCTCAAAAAAAAAAAAAAAAAAAAAAATTATATTGATTACTGAGGTTTCTGTCACCCTCTTACATTTTGTGCATGAGGTGAGTGCCTCAATTGCCCTCCCCCACCCTCATCATAGTCCTGATGCAGAAGTCAGCCCACAAAGCCCCCTAGATATATGGAGTGGAACCCCCACCATTTGTCAGGTGAACCCTGAGGCTCCACCCAGGGTGGGGCTGGCCTGGTGGGCCTTGTGGGTCTGATGCTCTTTGCACTGTAATAATGGCAGCTGCAGATTTCTCCAGAAGGGGAATGGCTGCCTTTCAAAGTGTGTCCTGAATAAGAAGAGACCTCTGAATCAAGGGTGATTCGTGTGCATGAAGATGCACTGGGTTCTGTGGTGCTTGCAAACATGGAGACCTGCAGTAGGCCCTGGTTGCTGAAGCCCATGAATCAGCCCTAGCGAGGAAGAAGGGCTGGGGCCCAGTGCGTCTGGGAAGGCCACTGCCCTGGAGCCCCTTCCTCATCTAGGCCGCCTTCCTGCATCGTCAGCCTGAGACCTCCAAGTGGCTCACCAAGGAGGCAGCCATCTTTCAAGTGTCAGGGGATAAAGGAGCACTCATCCTTGACATCACTAGTTACCAGAGACCCCCCTCAGCTGCATCACCCGCTTCGGCCCCACCTGCCACAAACCCACGATCTGCAGTAACCCTAGACCACATCCAAGGAAGACAAGACCCCAGCCCCGAGCCCTAGAAGGTCTCTGCCATCATCTGCCCCACCCTTTCTGGGGGACATTGGTTCAATATGGGCCAAAAAGTGGCAACCACAGAGCTCTGGGGTCCAGCCCATCTTGCTGAGTTTGAGTTTATTACCTGGGCTACAAAGGGTTAAGTCAAACGCCTTCAAATGCCTATATCCTTGGGGGAAGGAAGAGGAAGTAGCTAAAGGCACTACTAAAATTTACTTTTGTAGGAAAAAAAAAAGAAAAAAAGAAAAAAAAATTGTTCACTGACCAAAGCTGACCCCTTCCCACAGGGTTGCTGCAGGGGACCCCAACCCACACATCGATCTGATTGGGCCACAAAGCCCTTCCTGAATTTTTCAGACCCACCCCAATCCCAAACCATTTATGGCCCAGAGAGAGTGGCGTTAATTTAAATAAATCCCATTTTTTTTCTGGAGATGACCACTCCTCGCGGAACCATCCCGTGCAACGTAACGTGTCCCTGAGTATCTCACTAGACGAGCAGCCAGAGAAAGCTGCTAGGGAGCAGTAGCTCCAACCGAAAATTCTCTCCAGCAATCTTTCCGTGGGGCTCTCTGAGTAACTGCCTTTTTTTTTTCTCCTTGAGACAGAGTCTTACTCTGTCATCCAGGGTGGAGTGCAGTGGCATGATCTCAGCTAACTGTAACCTCAGACCCCTGCGTTCAAGCAATTCTCCCGCCTCAGCCTCTCCAGTAGCTGGGATTACAGGCATGCACCACCATGCTTGGCTAATTTTTATATATATATATTTTTTAGCAGAGATGAGGTTTTGTCACGTTGGCCAGGCTGGTCTCGAATTCCTGACCTCAAATGATTAGCCCGAGTCAGCCTCCCAAGGTACTAGGATTACAGGCGTGAGCCACTACGCCCAGCCAGCACCTGCCACTTTTACTGTGGCTTCTTAAGCCTTCAGATCCCTGTACTGGAAACACCTGGGCTTGGGGTGAGAGTCATTTGGGTGGAATCCATTCCTGCCATCTTAGAGCAGCGGTTCTCAGGCACATGTGCATATCCTGGTGTATCTCATTCACTGAGAAGCGGGCCTGCGAAAGATTAACTAATAATAAAGTGCTCAAATCTGTGGCCGACTTGACTCAAGCATTGAGCAGATTCAAGATGATCTGCTTATCAGCGTTACGCTCACTTTGCATTCTGATAAGCCTTTGTAAGCGGAGTGAGCTCTGCCAAGGTCTGGGAGGTTCTGTATTACCTTCCAGCCTCACGCCTCATTCCTCCCTTCTCAGTTCTGACCTTGGCCTCTCCCTCTTTCCTGTCAAGGTCTTTGCACTTACAGAGCCTTTTGCTGGGAGACCTCTTTTCCAACACCTTTGCATACTCTATCTTCTTCTTTCGAACTCAGCTCAAAAACGGAACTTCGCCAGATACTGAGTTAGAGGAGTCTTAAGAGACTTCGGGGAAGGGAGGTGAGAGGCTGGAAATAGTTTGTTCCTTGATCTACATGGAGGTTCAAAGGTGTGCACATAAGTAAAAATTATTTGCTGAGCTGTCAACTTAAAATTTGGAGAGTCACTGTATGTAAGTAAACCTAAAATGTCAAAATCTAAAAAAACCAAAAAAAACACAGATGTCTACCTCTTCCCTGTCTCCTGTTATTCCTGTTACTCTCAACCATGGCATGTTCATGTCTGTGCTGCCATAATATTATCTGCTCGTTTATTTGTAAATTGTGTCTCCTGCTAGAATGTAAACCCCATGAGGACAGATACTCTGTCTTGTCCACTGCTGTGTCTTTCAGAGAATAACATAGTGCCTGTTATGCAGCAGATACTTTAAAAAGAAGTGAATAAGTCGATAGTTGGATGAATAAAAAGGTTTGGATTTAATGATGGGGAATAAAAGAGGGAGAGGAGGTCAGCTTGAGGCTAGAACCGCTCACTCGACACCCCGACCCCAGCCTACAGTTGAGGGGTCTTGCTCTATAAGTCCAAGTCCAGAAGCTTGTTCCCTGCCTGGAGGGCGGCCCTGGTGTGTCTATACCTCATTGGGGTCATCCTGGTCGGCATAGATGAGGAAGCCTGTGAAGAGGCTGTCTGTCCAGTAAGGGTCGTAGAAGAGCCCATTCTGCTCTGAGTAGAAGATCTGTAGCCAGACTTCGTCACCCTGCTTGAGAGCCAGGATGGTGGAGCCCGAGGCCACATCGTGGTTGCCGGTGTTGGCATCAAAGGTCCGGATGCGGTACTGGCCGTTGTGGACCAGGCCGATGGCCAGGTGCTTGTTGGCCAGCGTGATGTCGTAGGTGAAGTAGTAGATACCAGGCACGCCGCAGACAAACTTGCCACTGGAAGCATTGTAGTGGCCACCCTCGTTCATCAGAATCTTGTCAAACTTGATGGGCAGCCGCTCCCGTGGGTAGCTCTTGGTCACCGCCACCGAGAAAGCTGACTTGGTGTGGCCACTGCCGCAGCTGCATGGGCCTGGGAGGCCTGGCTCCCCCTTCTTGCCCTTGGGCCCCTTCTTGCCTGGTATGCCATGCTTCCCGGGGGTACCACTGACCCCCTTGGGGCCACGAGGGCCAGCCCGCCCAATGGCCCCAGCTTTGCCCTTTGGTCCTGGCTTTCCCCGGTTACCTGTCCGGCCAGGTGGACCTGGAAGACAGAGCAGCTGGTGTTATGGAGGATCGTCACAGACCTATGCAGAGGTGTACGCCTTGGCTTCCCATCCTTGGAGAAGGAGTGCTTGGGTAATGGAAAGAACAAGACGGCTTTGGAGGCACATAGAAGTGGGTATAAATCCCAATGCTAGCTATGAGGAAAATGGAAATCATGATACTAACCTTCAAGAATCACAGTATATCAGGGCAAAAAGAATAACTTGTAACAGTTCACACCCTTTCCTTCTCCTGTTTTCTAAGGGTCTGGTCTGTCTGCCAGATCAATCCTTCCATCGGCTGTGCTGGTAGTGGGCTGAGAACTGGAAAAAGCCTCTTGACTTCAACATGCTGACCTTAGTAAAATCCCTGCCTAGTGCAAGTGAGCCCTGCCCACGAGTACAAGGATTTTATTGCGACATTGATTATAATAGCAAAAAATAGGAACAACTAAATGCCTATCCAAAGGGAAATAATAAAAAAAAATTATGGTTCATCCATACTGTGGATTTCTATGCAGGACTTAAAAAAAAAAGGAGAGTTACGTGTGCTCTATGAAACCTTCTCTAACATACACTAAGAGGAAAGAGAAGGTGGCCAAACCTTTTATGTTAAAAGGCAGCCAGGCTGCGCATGGTGGCTCATGTCTGTAATTCCAACATTTTGGGAAGCTGGGGCTGGAGGATCGCTTGAGGCCAGGAGTTTGGGACTGGGAAATGTAGTGTGACACTGTCTCTACAAAAAATACCAAAATTAGTCAGGCATGGTGGCATGTGCCTGTAGCCCTATCTACCTGGGAGGCTGAGGTGAGAGGATCCCTTGAGCCCACGAGTTCTGGTTTACAGTGGGCTATGATTGCGTCACTGTATTCCAGCCTGGGCAACAGAGTGAGACCTTGTCTCTAAAGAATAAGAATTAGAAAAACAAAAGGAATCCACAATGCTAAATATTTCTACACCCATTTAAACATCTGGCCTATAGCAAACATTCCCTAAATTCTAGCTAGCATTCCCTGCAGAACAATTCCCCCAGTTGTGTTTTCCTTTAGAAGACTTTTTGGTGTTTCATACTCATATTTCATAAAATATACATTTCTTTCAAAACACCATTTTTGGCTACTGATTGTATAAAATCAATTTAATTTATGTCCCCTTAACTCAGTACAACATTTTCAACAAAACCTATATGGATAACAATTTGAGTTCACTTGACACAAGGTTGTTACAACCATATGAACTGGGTGATCAAGGAAGAATGTTTCAGGCATTTTACATCCTAACAAGGTACTTTGTTTCTTACATGTATGCATGTAGGCATTTCACTGTGTTTTAGAGCTTTGAGTTAATCTGTAATGCATCTAAATTTTTCCTATTTTACATAATTCAGAAATGGGTTTCCAAATTGCATTTTCTTACGGAACATTTATTTTCAGGAACAGATTGCTTATATTAGGCGCCTGACAATGCCTGGTATTGTTAAACACACATAAAAACACCAGGAAAGATACACACCTAACCAATTAATAGTGGTTACATCTGGAGGGTGAGGGGAGGAGAAGGGGTAGTAATTAAGGAGGACTTTTGTTTTATGTGTATTGTTTGAATATACTACAATAAGACTGTATTTGTATATTACTCATATAATTAAAAATAAATAAAAAGAATGGGAAAAAATAAAAGTAGGAAAAGTCACAAAGCTATTCCTTGAAAAAATGAAAATAAACAAAAGGTGGGAAAAACGGCCAAGAGAAGAGGAGAGACAGAATTTTATTTTTTTTAAGAGACAGAGTCTCACCCTGTTGCCCAGGCTGGAGTGTGCAGTGGCCCGGTCCTAGCTCACTGGAACCTCAAACGCTTGGGCTCAAGTAATCCTCCTGCCTCAGCCTCCTGAGTAGCTGAGACTACAGGTGCACCCCAGCACGCTTGGTTAATTTTAAAAGTTTTTGTAGAGGCACGGATCTCCCTATGTTGCCCAGGCTAGTTTCGAACTCCTGGCCTCCCAATCCTCTTGCCTCAGCCTCCCAAAGGTCTGAAATTACAGGCGTGAGCCACCACACAGCCCCCAAGTCATTCTGAATTGGGGTTTTTGGTGGGAGACAAATAGGTAAGAAAGCTTACCAGGAAGTTCTACCATGTATTATATAATGTGGTTCCCGCTTCACTATCTTTTTTTGAGAAACTTCAGGAAAAGCTGCCTTTACTCTTCTGGAGGTGGATTTGAGTGTGTGGTGATGTGTGGGTGGTTGGATGTTATCCTGAATTGGCTCCAGGGTGACAAGCTTTGTCTGGGTTATATGTGCTGGGACTCTCCCAACACTGCCTTCCTTGGTGTGGTGGTTTCCTTCTCTGCAGAGACTCAACACATAGCAGAAGAGATGACCAAAGGCAGCCCCAGTACATGGCAGAACTTCCTGGTAAGCTTTATCTATTTGGGGAAAAGTCAACAGCAGAGACTCTGTCCCTCAGGATCCATAGGCAAATTTCAGGGAAAACTCTAGCTGGCCTGCTTGGAGCACATGTCCAGAACTGAGCCTACCGTTGTGGTCAGGAAATTGGATACTGTGACACCAGTGCCCAGCAAGCTGGATGACCTCCCCAAGTCAGAGGTATCATCGTTACTTTTTTTTTTTTGAGACAGAGTGTCACTCTGTTGCCTAGGCTGGAGTACAGTGGTACAATCTCAGCTCACTGCAATCTCCGCCTCCTGGGCTCAAGCAATTCTCCTGCCTCAGCCTCCCGAGCCTCTGGGACTATAGGCGCACGCCACCACGCTCAGCTAATTTTTATAATTTTAGTAAAGACGGGGTTTCACCATATTGGCCAGCCTAGTCTGGAACTCCTGACCTCGTGATCCACCTGCCTCAGCCTTCCAAAGCGCTGGGATTACAGGCGTGCGCCACTGTGCCTGGCATGATCATTACTTTTATACTGATATCCTGGGGGGAGGCACTTTGGAAGGAATTAGTTTGATGTGGTAGGAAAAGGCCTGGATTTGGAGTCTGCCGCTTATGGGGGCTCAACAAGTCAATTACAGGGTGACTAACATTTATTGTATGTCTGCACTGAGACTGGTGCTTCACACATTGTTTTATTTCATCTTTACAACCCTGTGAGACAGGTGCTATTTTTATTCATATTTTAGAGATAAGGAAACTACGGGTTGGAGAAAGTTTAAGTAGTTTGCCAAAATGAGCGTCCAGGTTTGTTTCCAAAGTTCATGTTCTTGCGGCGATGACATTTTGCTCTCAACTGAGTCACTCTGACTCTCAGTATCCTCATCTGTAACATGGGGAAAATAAGAATCCCTCTGGCACAAAATATGGATGGTCAGATGGGCAACATGCTTAAAAGTGCTTTATCAATATTAAAATGCCATACAAATAAAAATTATTAAATTTCTCCACTGCTTAAAATGTAGACTTAGGGATGCTGCTGACACTGAAAAGTGCTTGGTTGCTGGGGTGAAAGTTTGGAGACATAAGGAATGTCACAATGGAAAGGTCTGTAGAGTATACCCATTCTGTTTGCCATCTGCCTGGCATCCCTTCCTTTGGGGAGCTGCCCTTCACCATTTCATTTCATATGGTCCTGGTGGGGCTGTCAGTCACAATGACTGACTGCCCTCACCACCCACTCACACACATGCAGGGGTGGGCACATGAGCCTGTCCTGCAGATGGCAGCACCTCACCTCCTTGGTCAAGGGAGTTGGTCCAGGATACACATGTGGCCAAGAAGAATTGGCTGTTCTGAGATTTGCTCTGTGGATGAAGCCAGGAAGATGTGGGCCTGTAGCCAGCAGTTGCTATTTCAGAACTTCCAGCCTTTGTGAGGATGCAACAATCACAGAGAAGCAGAGCTCTGACAATGATATTTGAGCTCCTAGACTCAGCTATTCCTGGAGCTCTGCTCTTGGACATCTCAGTTTTGTTTTTTGAGTTTTTTTTTGAGACAGGGTCCTGCTCTGTCGCCCAGGCTGGAGTGTGGCAGCGTGATCTCAGCTCACTCAACCTCTGCCTCTCCGGTTCAAGCTATTTTCCTGCCTCAGCCTCCACAGTAGCTGGTATTACAGGCACATATCAGCACACTGGGCTAATTTTTTGTATTTTTAGTAGAGATGGAGTTTTGCCATGTTGGCCAGGCTGGTCTTGAATGCCTGGCCTCAAGTAATCTACCCACCTCGGCCTCCCAAAGTGCTGGGATTATAGGTGTGAGATGCCGAGCCTGACCTGACGTCTCAGTTTTATGAGTGAATACATTCCATTTGGGACTATAAATTGGGTTTCTGTCACTTGCAATCATCTAGAGTTCTGAGTAATATTTTGGGAGACTTTTCCAAAGTCACTTAGCAACTCAAAGGTGCACCCGGGGCAGGAGCACAAGATTTGATACCCATTGTTCCTTTCAGAAGATACTGCTCTGAGGCCAGGTGCCGTGGCCCACGCCTGTAATCCCAGCACGATGGAAGGCCAAGGCAAAAACAAAAACCAGAACTGATTCCAATAGCTGAGCTCCAGGAATACCTGAGTACAGGAGCTAAATATTGTCAGGGCTTTGCTTCTCCTGAGGTCAGGAAGTTGAGACCAGCCTGGCCAACATGGTGAAACCCCATCTCTACTAAAAAAAAAAGAATACAAAAATTAGCCAGGTGTGGTGGGGTGCACCTGTAGTCTCAAGTACTCAGGAGAACTGCTTGAACCTGAGGTTGGGGAGGAGAAAGGTTGCAGTGAGCTGAGATCACACAACTGCACTCCAACCTGGGTGACAGAGCGAGCCTCTGTCTCAAGAAAAAAAAATATATGTATATACTGCTCTGTTTATAAGGAAACAGTAATTTGATTTATAATGAAGAAGATTAATACTAGTTTTATTAACCTTACAACCCCCCCACCAATGCCAGGTGGCTGTCAGCCAGGTGGGAACAAGAGGAGCAGGTATAGGCCTCTTACCTTCCTCTCCGCTGTCCCCCCGGTCTCCATCTTGGCCGTCTTGGCCATCTTTGCCAGGAAAGCCCATTCGTCCCATCATTCCTGAGGGCCCTGGGGCTCCTGGGGGGCCGGGTGGGCCCTGGGGGCCAGGCAGGCTGCAGACCAGTTGAGGGGAGCCTTTCCGGAAGTCCCTGCGAGCAAAGGCTCCAAGCAGTGGGTCAGCAGCACAGGGGAGGGCACAGGCCAAGAGCATCCAGGGGATCATGGTGGTCACCTGTGGGAGGCAAGAGAGCTGTGACAGGTGAGTGTGGCCACCAAGCTGACCTGGGGCTGGTCAGAGGGGATGCAGAGGAGGAGGCATGGGGATACACTCAATCGGGTTTTTGTCTCTTGCCCTTTCCTGCATCGCATACAAGTAGATGTGATATGGACAGAGTCGTCATATCTTGAGGACATATTTGGGTGAGTGGAGTCATTACCCAGAATATACTTTGAAGGGGTCTTGGGGGTGAGGCACTCATCATCAGCCCATCATCCTCCAGAGTGGCTGAAATGGATGCAGGATTATGACCCAGAGACTGACGACTGGGAGGAGCTGTGAATGGAGAGAAATGATCCATGGTTTCATCCAAACATATGGCATGAATAGAACGTTAGAGTTTTACAAGGGTAGAAATGCTCGAATTGTAGGTGACTTTGCAACTAATCTGCTTTTCGCGGGAGACTCAGGGTTGCACATTAGGAGAGCTGGAGGATTCAGTTACTGAGTGGAGGTCAACCATCACCTGAGCAACCCCAGCAGGCCATGGTGGCAGCTCCTCCCCCAGCGCTTCCTGTGTGCCAGGCATGTGCTAAGCACTTTCCACTCATTACTTGATCTGCATAATGCCCTTACAGAGTAGATATAGGGGAGGAAATGGAGGCTCAGAGAAGTTGGGCAATGTGTCTACATCACGCTTGTCCAACCCAGGGCCTGTGGGCCACATACGCCCCAGAATGGCTTTGAATGCAGCACAAATTTTGTAACTTTCTTAAAACATCATGAGATTTTTTTTTTGCAATTTTTTTTTTTTAGCTCATCACCTATCGCTAGTGTTAGTGTATTTTATGTGTGGCCCAAGACAATTCTTCTTCCAATGTGGCACAAGGAAGCCAAAAGACTGGACGCTCCTGGTCAATATCACGTGATTAATAGATGGTAGGGTTAAGGTTTGAACCAGGCTGTCCAGATCCAGGGTCTGTGCCCTCCTGTCCCAGGCTAGACCGTGTCCTTAAGACTGATGGCAGCAATGGCACAATCCTACTGGAGAACAGTGTGCTATGCACCTGGAGGTATCTACTTACTCCCTGCCTTCACTGTGCATACGCAGAAACTAAGACCCAGAGCAGAAATAAGCAACTTGCCCAAGACCTCTCAACAAATCAGTTCCGTTGATTTGTAATCAATAGCCTCTCTCTCAAGAATGAAACCAGGAGGGGGAACATTCCAGGCATGACTTCCTGCCATGGCGATGAACTATGAAATGGTAACTTGCTTTGTAACCTTAGGCAAATCCTTTTCCCTCTCTGGGCCTCAGTTTCCTCACCTGAACAACAGGGGCTGGGCTGGAGCAGTGGTTCCTAAACTTCAGTGTACGTCACACTCACCTTGAATGCTTGTTAACACACAGGTTGTTGGGCCTTACCCCCAGAGTTTCTGATTTATTAGTTCTGGGGTGAAGCTGTGCAATTTGCATTTTTAAATTTTTTTTATTTTTTTTGAGATGGAGTCTCACTCTTGTTGCCCAGGCTGGAGTGCAGTGGTGCGATCTGGGCTCACTGCAACCGCCGCCTTTTGGGTTCAAGCGATTCTCCTGCCTCAGCCTCCCAAGTAGCTAGGATTACAGGCATGTGCCACCATGCCCAGCTAATATTTTTGTATTTTTAGAGATGGGGTTTCACCAGGCCCGGGAAATATTTTTGTATTTTAGAGATGGGGTTTCACCATGCTGGCCGTGCTGGTCTGGAACTCCCGACTTCAGGTGATCCGCCCGCCTCATCCTCACAAAGTGCTGCGATTACAGGCATGAGCCACTGTGCCTGGCTGGCAATTTGTATTTTGAATAAGTTTCCCAGCGATGCTGCTGATGGTGGTCCAGAGACCTTGTTTTGGGAACCACTAGAATAGGGTTCCTTCCAGCCCTGATGCTGAGCCTTTCAGACTTCCATCTATTCTCTTTCCAGATACAAAGTTGGCTTCATAGTTCTCGCTCAGCCTGTGGCTAGCCAGTCAGAGCCTTTGAGTATTAGGGGATCCTCGGCAGCTATGGTCCTGGTTGCATTGCTCAGGCATTGACCTCTGGAACTCAGTTTTCCTTCAGGCCTTCGATCTCCTTTCCCTTCAGACTCTGCTTGGCCCCTGGCTATTGGAGCCTGTCCAGGCTTTTGGGCTGCCTCTGGCTGCTCCCCTCAGAAACAGGCTAACTATATCTCTCCTCCTGCCCCCTCCAGGATCTTTAACCCTGGAAACAGATGCTGAAGGGAAGGCCTGGACTTGCAGAGAAAGGAAAATGTTTTTTTTTTTTTTTTTTTTTTGAGATGGAGTTTCGCTCTTGTTACCCAGGCTGGAGTGCAATGGCGCGATCTCCGCTCACCACAACCTCCGCCTCCTGGGTTCAGGCAATTCTCCTGCCTCAGCCTCCTGAGTAGCTGGGATTACAGGCACACGCCACCATGCCCAGCTGAATTTTTGTATTTGTAGTAGAGACGGGGTTTCACCATGTTGACCAGGATGGTCTTGATCTCTTGACCTCGTGATCCACCTGCCTCGGCCTCCCAAAGTGCTGGGATTACAGGCTTGAGCCACCGCGCCCGGCCAGGAAAATGTTTATTGCCCACATCGCAGCAGTGTTACAATCACAGGGCCCAATATGGTCACTCCCAAAGAGCCTGCAAAAGGCCCCCGTGGAAAAGACAGCTTTAAATGTCTGCCAGGCACAGAGATGCAGAGCAATCTAGCCCCTCCCCGGTCATGGAACATATAGAAATCCACCTCCCGTCCCTGTACCTCCCCTCCCTTCAACCTGGAAAGAGGTGAGCTGACAAGCGGAGCAGATGGCCTTGCCTGTTTCACACCTTCACTGAGGCAGCAGGGAGAAACCTCACTTTCTAACGGAAATTGAGGTGTGGGTTGCCTGGGAGTGGAGACTGCAACCGGGGGATGGGTAGCCCCTCACTGACTAAATTGTAAGTCGGGAGGGGTAGGCAAAAACAAGGATGCAGCTTGATTGTATTTCTGATATCACACTTGCTCAACTTAGGTTGCGTAAATAATAGTAGAGATGGTAGGCAGATACGGCAAACATCACGGAAATGTTGCCTGAATGACAGGTGCTTTTGGAAAACTATGGCCTAGACACTCCCCAGGCCCTGTGAGTCACCATCTCTTTCCCTTGTCTACTTGATGAGAGTCTTGGAACACTGGTTGGCCCTATTTGTGAGCTGCAGCACATCTGGGACCCCCAGAATAGAAACTGAATTTTTAATGCAAGTTCGAAATGATTTGGAAAGTTTCAGTCTACAAACATTTTGCAGTAGGGAGAGACGGAGGCAGGAAGTGGAAGCGAGTCTTTGAGGCAGATGAGAATCCTGCAAACAGCTAGCTGAAGACAGGCAGAAAACAGCCAGACGAGAGAGAGGGAGAGAAAGGGAACCATCTGCCACAGTTGACAACTCCCCTCTCTCTTCTGACCTCTGTGCCCAGCCACACAGGCTCCACCAGCGGAAAGGGGATTTGCTCTCTTGCCCACAAAGGTCTTGCACCAGCTTCTCTGGACAAAGAGGGAATTCCTCTCTGTGAAAGCCGGTTCGAGGCAGTCCCTAGTGTCTGGGTGGAGGGGTGTGTGTCTGGGAGGAAGGATTTTCTGAGCTGGAGTCTGAAGGCTCCTGCAACCCCAGAGGAGTCCTGGCAGCTCGAGCCAGGAACTGTTTTGGAAATAAAGGCGGGGAGACTAGATTCTAGTTCCAAACCCAAAGGGAGGGAGGGAGAGGAGAGTCTCCTTGCCTCCACAGCACCTCCAAGGAAAACAAGCCTCCAAATAGCTCTGGTCCCAGCCTGTGCCTTGCCCCACCCTCACCTCAGTCTCTGCACCATGGTCTTGAGAAAGCCTGGGGGCAGGGTGCTTAGAGGGGCACTAAGGCCCCAAGGAATCCAGGCAGGTTAACTTTTCCCGGGCCTTTCTTTAAATTAATTTTTTTTCTTTTTGGAGATGGGGGTCTTGCTCTGTTGCCCAGGCTGGAGTGCAATGGTGCAAGAGCTCACTGTAGCCTTGAACTCCTGGGCTCAAGTGATCCTCTTGCCTCAGCCTCCTGTCCCAAGTAGCTGGACCTACAGGAGTGTAGGCCACCACCCTCAGCAAGGACCTTTTAAATCCATTTAGAATCACGAACTTGGGGAGGGCCTCAGGGAACCATCAAATCCAGTTACAGATGGGGAAACCAAGGCAGAAGCAAACTGACCTTATTACACACCTACGATGTTTCAGGCACCATGTGAAGCCCTATATCTGCATTACTTTTTTCTTCTTCTTCTCACTTTGTTGCCTAGGCTGGAGTGCAGTGGTGTGATCTCGGCTTACCGCAATCTCCACCTCCAGGGCTCAAGTGTTCCTCCCTTCTCAGCCTCCCGAGTAGCTCGGAATACAGGAGTGTGCCACCATGCCCAGCTAATTTTTGTATTTTTTGTAGAGATGGGATCTAGCCATGTCACCCGCCGGTCTTGAAGTCCTGGACTCCAGTGATCCACCCATCTTGGCCTCCCAAAGTGCTGGGATTATAGGCATGAGCCACCGCATCCAGCCCACTGCATGGTTTTATTTGAAGCTTACCTAAGCCCTATGAATGCAATACACTTACAGTCCCATTTGTTTCAGAGGAAGAAACAGATACTCCAAGAAGTGAAGTTATTTACCCAGAGTCACACAATCAGGGATTAATAGAGCTGGTGTCCAAACCCATGTCCGTGTGTCTCTGAAGACTATGCTTAATCCACACCACCTTGCTTCTTGCCCCTGCCATTTCCCCCCATTTTATAGAAGACACAGAAACTAGGAGATGCTAATTTACTTATGTTTACACAACTAGTTAGTGGCAGAAGTTATATTTGAACTTGGGTTTGGCTGACCCTAGTACCCAAATGCTTTCCATTATGTCAGCATTTCTTAGATTTTTCCTCTTAAATATCCCACATTACAGAAAAGACCTTGAAGCATATGCCAAAACCACACACACCAATAG